AAGAAACACGCGACGGGATTTGGGGAAAAAGAACGCGTTTTCCATTTTTAATTTTTGGAAATGATTTTTCAAAATACCAAAAAGAACACATTTTCAAAAATTTCAAAATAGACATTAAAAACACAAAACTCAAAACGAATTAAAAACTCAAAATACAAAACTGAAACACGAAGAGAACTGCCCCTAATTTTTCTAATTTAATGGCTGTCAAATAGGGGCTTAAAGTTAGAAAATAAAACCAATAAAGCTTCAATTCAATTGAAAAGCGTGCGTAGTTCAATGTTTACATTGGGCTGTTTTAGTCACGTGGGCTTCATATTGACAAATATAAATAGTTCGAGATCCAAAATTTCACTTTTAAAAGTTAAGGACTTATCATCACATCACGTTAAACGATGGGGAGTTCAATCTTAATTTTTTATTTCTAAATCAAGTTTCTTTGGTGTGGTTGACTTTTAGCTCCAAGAAAGTAAAATGTTGATCTTGGAAAAGTTTATGGTCACGTTTTATCAAAACTCCGGCCAATTATTTAAGTTTGAAAGTAATGTTTAAACATAATTTTTAAATTGAGCGGTCCGTATACTTACATCGTTCATTATGACGGAAAAAGAACAAAAGATTCGCTTTCAATATCAATATCGCATTGTGTGTTCGCTTTACATAAAGAAAAAGGTGGGAAAATGGAAATCGTGATTAGAAAAGCTCACAGAAAAGAAGATCAGTCGGTACCGCATATAAAGGTGAGAACAGGAAATATAAAAGATTTGAGGGATTCATTTCACACTTTAGTGAAGTGAAACGTTAGGCTGCTTTTCACATAATTAATTTTTTTTTTTTAATGTGCTTATCACTGATTTTATTTTTTATACGAATTAAAAAATCTTATTTAATGTTATTGAAAAATCAAATTTTGTCAAAAACATTTCGAGTTCACATTTATTTAATTATCAATAACTAGTATTAAATTATTATTATTGAAAGTAATAAAGAAATAAAAAGTTTATCAGTAAATGAACCAAACGAAACATTCTCTATAAAGACTAAATAATTGAGACATGAAAATAAAGAAAGTCGGCGTGCATAAATGGGACGGAGGAAGTATATTTTTATTGAAAGACTCTTAAGACACATTAGCGATGGCAAAATTTCCTACCCTTAACCTAATGTGACTGAGGTACGAAATCTTTGTCCTAAATAGTAAACGAGATGGGAATGGAGAACATGGTCCATGTCCCGAATTTCCCAAACCTCACTAGAATCATTTTATTTTATCATAATATTTTTTTGTTTCTCAATTCTTAAATAAAATATTTTATTAAATTTTTTTAATTAAACAGGACGATAAATAGCGATTTTTTTAAAAATCACGTCTTGTTTCGTCTCATTGCTATTTTTGAGACAGGGTATGTTTTTTGTTTTTTTGAAGTCAGAGCTCATCCACACTAGTTCTATTTTTCTTGCATTATTAATTAAAACAAGAAAAAAGAAAAGAAAGAATAGTTTTGTTAGGAATAGGAACTATGAAGTTAATATAATTAAGAGAGAAATATTGAAAGAAATATGTAGTTTGTATAACCAATTATATAAATTATAAAGGTAGAAATAATCAAAATCATGAAAGAAAAAGGATATATTACTAGGACATACACGTATAAAGTTAAAATTTGAAATTTTATCTTAAAAATTCAATATTTCTAGGAGGAATGTGTTTTTTATTTATTTCGTCGTGTGAAATTTACTTTAACATACTCTGCAAGACGATGACTCATTTGAGAACGCCAATATTAAAATTTTTGTCATCTAAATTTTAATCTAATTGAGTTGCGTTTGAATTATAGAGTCACGCTGTTGCGTTGGGTGCAACAATAATTCTACTAATAATTGAGCTAGTATCATCATATATCTAGAGAATGACAGTAGTGATGCAATGTTTTATTATGGAGAAAATGACACAAAATTTAGGTTTTGACACTTGACAGGGCTGTATGAATTGGCTAATTTATTATTGGGAAATACATAAATGGGTTTTGGAAATTAGTAAAAGGATAACTTTTAAATGTTCTCTATGCTCAATTTTTCATAAAACCTTTAACCAATTACTTGATATGCACACAACTTTTAAGTTAAATCTTGAAAGATTTCAAGACAAGATTTATTTTGCGAGATAGTTATATTGCATGCTAGATAATCCAATTAATCAAGATGGTTGTTTCAACTATCGACGTACATAGTTGAAACTATCTTTTATTAGTCTAACCATTTTCCATCTTCCAAGACAATTAGAATTGTCTAACATACCGACAAATATTTCGCAAAATGAATCTTCTCTTTAAAACTTTCAAGATTTACGTTAAAAGTTATGCATCCAAATGAATCTTCTCTTGAAAACTTTATAATTTACCATAAAAGTTGTGCACCAACCAAATACACGCGCTCCTTTGTAATTTTGAACTTTTTCCTCCTTACAAAGATATAATCACATTTTAGATTGAGGGGAGCTGTATCGGACTGTATACTCAGCCCACATCTATGTCTATATTGTGTATATATATATATATGTTTGGTTATGATTTGTCTTTTTATTAGTTGATTGTAGAATGGTGGATAAATAACAATTGTGTTTAAATTTTAATTATTGAGTTGAAAAATTATAAAGAAAATCATCATATTTGTATGATTATGCAATCAAAACAATACTAAAAGGTGATGAAACATGATGAATAAAATTTTGGCAATCATTTCAATATTTATCAAAGGGTGAATAATATCGATACAGATATGGATGTACAAAATGTGACTGTGACTATTGACTTGGTTGGCTGTAAAGAAAAATGTAGTGTTCTTATTTTTCTTTGAAGGGATGGAATTGATTTAAAAAATGGTCGCCTTTTTTTTTCCGATTTATTTAATTTAATTTCACATAATATTAATAACAATAACAACAACAATAGTAGTAAACGAAAATTGTGAATTTAAATTTTAACATTTTTTCATTAGATTTTTTGATATTAATAATAAGTTGAAAATATCAGCCATCCCTAACAAAATTTTTTTTGGATCTGCCCCTGATTGTTTGTGCAAATAATTTTTTCCCCCTTAAAAATTAAAACTTATGGGAATTTTGTTTTTGGTATTAAAACAATATTTATGGTATTAATTAGAGGGTGTATTCAATAATTAGCCGTGCAATTAGGTATACCAGAATGCAATTAAAATTTAAAAACAGTTGCATTGCGAACCATGCATGCACATATAATTAGGTAAAACATCGAATTCTTGTCACGCGGCGGACTTGCCTAGGTCATGAAAGGATCCAAAAATGAGAAAATAATTGGTGTACGTGGGAGTTGTTTGGCCGCGGTTGGCGTGGATTAAGATGGGTGGGGTGGGGTGGGTGTTGAGGGGGTGGAGTGGATGCCTGAGCTTGATTGGAAAACATGATTTTTTTTTTCCTGAAACTGCCATTTTTATTTTTGTTTATTTAAAAAGAAGGATAAAATCGTTATTTAATGGTCAAAATGAAGGGAAAGGAGTTCTATTACATAATTCAAAAGGTTGGGAATGAATTATGCCAAACAAATGTTGATGATAATTCGTTATATTTCGCAGAGGATGGGAATGAAACGTGAAAATTTTCCTTTGTTTACTAAGAGCCCGTTTGGTAGAGATTAAAATCGGATTAAAATTGAAAAATTAGCTGTTATTATTGACTTTTATTAGACGGGTGAGGTCCAATAACGGCTATATTTTCAATTTTAATTGAATTTTAATCGGTACCAAACGGGCTCTAAAAATGCTTTTTAAGAAGTAAGTGATGAAAAAGTGAATAATACTTGTGAATCTTATGAAATAATCCAAACAGAGGCTATGTGAAATAGTTTCAATTTGTAATTTTATCATTAAGAAAGTGGACCTATAATGGGGGCAGAAGGTTTGTATAATGATATGATTCAACAGTCTAGAGATAAAACCCTGTCTATAGTGGCTTGATCGTAATTAATTTGATGGTTTTAAAAATATAGTGAGAGAAACCAAGATAAGAGGATCCAACCGACTATTTTTCAAATTTGATAAATTTTGGTTGATCGTATATTTCTTTATTGATTACATTTTATTTTATTTCATTTTTTATTTGAGACGAGTTTAGACGTGAAAAGGAGTATTAAGAACTTTAAGCCCCTATTTGGTAAAGATTAAAATTCAGATTCTAATCTACGTCAGAGTCAACAATAAATTTTAACGATATAGGTCCCACAATTTTTCAACCACACATTTCATCAATTTACTAAAAATCTGATTTTAATTCATACCAAATAGGTGCTATCTTGTAATACATGTGTAATTATTTTTTATAGTGAGAAAGTGTACATAGATTATTTTAACAATTAAACCATTTTCCCAAAATAAATTTGAACTTTTCTTGACACCATCTCACATTGTGGTGGGAGCCACACCATATGAATTTAAAAAAAAAATAAAAAATCCCCCCACCCCCCCTATTGTGAGGGGGCTGTCAAGGAGGGTGTCAAACCCTCCTGGTAGCCCAACATTGTTCTTATTTTAAGTGGTACGTATATGCAAATCGTACAGGTCAACTTTCGTTAGATATATTTTTAAGTGAGATTTATCTTACATATCATTTCTCCTTCGATCATCAATTAGTTGAAGACAAGTTCTCAAGTTTGAAATAAACAAAATATGAATTCATACACCATCTAATACAATGTCATTGGACCATTCAATTATAATGCAAGATGATAAGACTATAATACTCAAGAATGTACCTAATTTTTGGTGCTTGCTTTAGTTCATTTCTTGACCTAATTTTTGAGTGCTACCTGACTATTCGCCCACCCAAGCAGTCACAGTCTGATGTGCAAGATATTGACACCACTAAAAACACATGCAAGGGATGAGGGATCCATATCAATAGCAAATAATAAAAATTCTTACATGTTTAGTACATAGTACTAGACAGTGTTGGATGGTACAATACACAACGATTCAACTTCTTTTTTTCCTTTTGATACTTTGCAATACACCTTACCAAACACGGTATAAGAAGTAACGCGTTGCCAGATTCTTAAACATACCTCTAAAATAATTATATCACGCTTAATGCAAATTCTAGTGCAGTATCAATATCAGGTTATTAATAAGCACAATCCAAAGGATAAGGAGAATTATTCAGACCATGTATGTCTTGGCAACTTGGATTATGTTCATGTGAGGAACCTTCATCGTTGCAGCACCGCCTCTGCAGTTATGCCTCAAGAATGCGTAGAAGTAATTTATAATGAGTTTCTTAAGGAACAACGAGTTCTTCTTTGCTCTCACATCACCATGACCGAGCAAGTACGTAAATCCTGAATCCGTAGCCTCTCGTAGTGCTGATAGCTCGTATTCAAGACTGGGATCTTCATCTGCTGACATGGCGCTAACTGGCAAGTTTAAGAGAGATCCTCCTGGTATTGAGCTTTCTGTTTCTTCCACTCTTTGACCATGCATTAGTGGGACCCTAAGATCCACTGATCCATCAGCATCGTGGATGTCAGCATCCCGTGACCTCATGGAAATGCTATCAATCTCCGAGTCATTCTGACCGCTCTCCATAGCAATATCCAGAGCCTCTTTTCTTAAAAATTTTTCAAGGCTTTCCATCAAAAGTTGCTCAAATGAATGGTGATCTTCTTTTCTAACATCCTTATAACCATACCGGGCAATACACTGGAACATATGATAGTCTTTCGGGCAAACCCTTCTGAACAAAAACCTTTCTTCTTGAGGGACTACAGGTATTGGGACATATTTGATGCAGACAAAGACTATGGTGGAATGAATTGCCGGAAGATCCAGCAGAAACTGTCCCAAAACAGAGGGAATACCATGGACGAGCTCATTGTACAATAATCCAATCCCTGGGGTTCGTACTGTCCCAAGAGAAGAGCCAAGTTCAATCATGAAATCCATAGAAATCTTTTCCCTGACCTCACTTTGGTATTTCAACACACTTCCGTAGTTCCAAATATACATAATACAGAGGAAGAAAGAAGCAAATACAAGTGGAAGCCAACCTCCCTCCTTGATCTTGGATAGAACAGCAGACAGGTAAATTAGCTCGATTGTTCCAAACACGAGTGGGAAACAGAGAGCCAAAAACAAGTTAGTCTGCCATATTAGCAGCATAACAAGTGTAACAAGGGTAGTGCTGACAAGCATGACACCAACTTCAGCAATGCCTGCAAAGATACAATGATGTCTTACAAAGCGACACCAAAATGTTACCTGCATAAATCTGTTTCCTTTTTCTAAAGAAGATTTGCATAAAATATGATGAGTAATTCAGAAAATTCTTAAAATAAGAACAGGTGTATGCACTGACCGCGTAAATGTTGAAGAGTAAATAGAGACACTCTTAAACAAAAACTAATAATCGGTGTAAGCACTGACTGCATAAATGTCGAAGAGTAAATCAGAGAAACCCTAAAAAACAAAAACTAACCGTAGGCATTGGCTATGTCTGAAGTGCTCCGAAATGCCGCAACCACAATAATGCACATGGCCATCAAAAACCAATTGATGACAGGTATGTATATTTGACCCATTAGTTTTCTAGAAGTGTGTACTATTTTCAGCCTCGGGAAGCATCCAAGAGCCATGGATTGCTTGATGCATGAGAAAGAAGCAGATATCATAGCCTGACTAGCAATTATAGCAGCAATTGTGGCTATTGCGAACACTGGCCAGAAAAGACGGTCTGTATCATTGACAAAATCTAATGTCAAAAGAAACCAATTCAATGCCCTTTCTGATTGACAAAACAAGAAAGGCAATGTGAATCAGCCATATTTTGGAAACCATCACCTGGAACAGATTCATAAAATATAGTACTAGCTAAATCAGGATGCTTCATAAGATACGCAGCTTGGCCCATGTAAGCTAAGAGGAGGCAGGGAAAGACCACAACAGTGAAAGCAATCTGCGGAAGTGAGTTGAAGTTAAATACGCTATTTTACTGTTAGACTTTGAGCATGCTTGGCAAAATAAGTAACTTAAAAAAGTAATTTAACTTAGTTTAAGCACAACCGAACATGCTCTTTGTCAAAGTTACATTTTCGCAAGCCATGATAAAGCTAAGGTAATGAAAAAAGAAACCTGTATGGATGGCACTGAGAAATGACCTAAATCGGCAAACATTGCTTCTGCACCTGTAATAATCATTTGTGCAATATCTCAATGAAAAAAAAAAGGTATAACAGTGTATCACTCACTCTATTTTAAGTACAAATGTGGGTATAATTCCTGAGACATGGAAAGCACAAAGAGCTATTTAGAGCAGGAGTCTTACCAGGACTTGTTCCTTCATTTTATTCGTGTTTAATTTTAATCCTTTTTTTTTGTATGGTTGAGTACCAGGGTTCCGAAGCAAGGATATTAAGCCCCTATTTGGCCCCAATTTTTTAAAACTCATTTTCAACCCCAAAAATGGCACCCACACAACTTCTATCAAAATTTCAATCACACATTTTATCAACTTTTACCAAAATCTACTAAAAATCTGATATTTAGTCAAACAAACAGGGGCTAAATAAATTTGAATTACAATAAAAATATTATAAGCGGAAAATCTTTGCCTGCTACAATAAAAAAATATATTCTAATTATCTGGTTAGAAGTGATCCATTCACCAAAATCATAAATGGCAATAATGCAGACTCAAAAGTTATAATGAGGAATTCGGGCTGATAATCACTCATCAAACAATTCACCAAGAGGATTATCAATCTTTTTTTTTTCCTGTAAGTAACTAGAAAGAATTTTTATACTTGCTAAGATTTCTGAAATTGAAATGCACATGCTTATGTAGGAAATGACATAGAAAACGTGGTAAATATACATACACAGAAACACGTGTTGTTGCCTTTTATTACACGAGTGGAACCCAATAACGGCTATATTTCCAATTTTAATTGAATTTTTAGTTTTACCAAACACGCTCTTAATATCATTTTTATGTTGCAGAAGGCAATGAAAACCATGTGAGTGAATGTTAGAGGCATATTCACACTCAACTGACCTGTGATGCATAATACACAACCACCAAGTGATGACCATGCCTTGATGCTATTTTTCTTGAAGAATAGATAGATGTAGAAAGGATTGAATGCCCTTATGACAGTTACATCATGCTTAACTAGATTGTAAATGCCAATAGATCCTAGACTAAAGAACCATAAAGCCAGGGCAGGAGCAAATGTGAATCCCACTTTGGTTGTCCCAAACCTCTGTATGCTAAACAATCCCACGAGGATAATAATTGACGTGATGACGAGAGCATCTGAAAAAAAAAGAAATATAATCATGGATAGGGAAAATGATAGCATTGGATACTAACATGGAACAGAACAAGTTAAAATCTTGTTCATAAATTGTCAATCATGTCCAGTACCATGTACCAAACATATACTTGGAAGAGTTTCCCACACAAAATGCCACCAACCATAAGCAAATAGAGAAATAATCAGATTCAAAAAATAGTTGCTAATATATTCTGGGGGTAGTCTATCTGAGAATAGAATAGACTGAATCTCAATCAACAATGGCAATCGGCATGCTACTTGCTAGCAATTACAGCCAGAGAATAGATGCTTACCCACCTGTACCAAATCCTGGTATCCGAACCTGCAGACCGCTCACAGCAGACATGACTGCAACCGATAGGGAGTATTAGGAGATGAAATGCATAGCAAGCAGTTTATATTACACATATTCCAATATTCCCCCTTGAAGATAATTATAGTGATGTGATGCAAAAAAAGTCACGTGAATAATCCATAGTTTACTTGCAGGAAAACAATCAGGTCTGATCACTTGACTTGACCACAAGCCTGTCAAAGAATGAACTATGGGTTTAGGCCAATGATAGAATTCCTTTATCCCAAGAATGAAATGCAATAATATCATTTGACCAATGTGTAGTATGTACTATTGCTCATGTATTTATGGTTAAAACTCATTTTCTATCACCAGCACATATCACTTTTTACAGGTAGTAGTTATACTTATGTAATCTCGAATGAAATCTATTTGACTTCCATATAGTACAGTTTCTCATTTTGTGAACAATCCTCAGAAGCCATATACTTGTATGCTTAACTCTCTCAGTCCCTGTTTTAATATTTCATTACCAGGTAACATGAAAAAAAATTCTCCATTATTTTGCTCTGACAGATGTTCCGAATCAGTGTTCTCATTTCCTGGTAAGTCACTGACTAGCCCTACAATTCTAGACATTTGGAACAGATAAACTAGCTGTATACTTAGAATTACAAAATTAAACAATGTCATTTTGGCTGTCTTTGATTGAACAAAAAACTGCACCAAAAGCCTTGTTCTGATTTTCAATTCCACAATACAGAAATACAAATACCTACTTACCTGATATCGCTGGGGTCAGAATACCATCCCCTATAATCATAGATGTTCCCATAAGAACCAACAGCAAGAGAAGAATTTTCAAAGAGATCTTGTGTTCCAATGTCTCCTTGATATTCAAAGCCCTTTCCAACTCCGGAGTGGGAAGTTTGAGTTTAAAACTAGAAATGTGTTCATCAGCCTGTTGGCGATTTGGAAGAAGATTAACATTTGCATACCTGCAAATTAGCGAGTATAATGCAAATGTTCCTCCTGCCAATTGAACAATAAGAGTCATGAACAACGTGCTCTTCCAGCAGATTGAAAAACACGTAAAGGATAACTTAATCTTAAGAAAAGATGTCTTACCTTCCCCATTATCATTTGCCTTGAGCACCACAAACACATATTTTGTTAGAGGAATGAGAGCAATAGTGTACATCACTAGTGATAAAGCCCCCAAGACATCAACATCTGACGTGATGGGCACCTTGCTGAATACATCAGAAAAGACATATAGGGGGCTGGTTCCCATATCACCATATACAACACCAAGTGTTTGAAATGCCAGTGCAAATGTTTGCCAAAGAGACGCATCCTGATTCATTAACGTAAGTCTCGGCAAGGAATTACTATTAGCGTTTACATAAACATTAACATTTGAAGGAATTGTATTTGTATATGCATCTTCTACTAATGGTTAGTCAAGTCCTCTCATCAAATCTGTGAACCAAATTGGAACTTCACAGTTAATTTTTCTTGTAGGACAAATGATTCACAGTGCAGTAACTTGGGAGGTTGAAGAAGCTTCTAAGCTTTAAAACAGATGATTGTTAACAAAATTTTGCACAGGAATTTCCTCTGAACAAAATCTAAAAAGAAAAACACATGCTGGTGGCAACACAATCTCAGACTGTTATTTCATGGTTGTGAAGACTGATAACACCAGTTCGCCGCCGCAGAGTTTAGAGTTGGATTATTGTGTCATATAAGTTAAACTCATAATTGAGGGGTCAAACAGTAGAGGAGATACAGACTTAAACACTACCAAGTTTAAGGTTGTCACCTCGTATTGAGACTTCAAGCTATTCTTTTTACTAGCTAAGCTTCGTAAGGATTTGTATATAGAAAATTACCCCTTGTTTAACTAATATTATTACAATTTAAAAGTTCCCTGAATTTTCTAGTACTAGCACCCGTATATGGTGAAAATCTAAAATTGATGGCACTTTTCATTCTCAGTTTTTAATTCAAAATGCCATCGCAAACCCAAATTTTGATACGGATAACAAATCTATGTAAAAACTATGAGCTTATGCACGTCCAATATCTTAAGAATTAGAGTATGAATAATGCTTAAAGCTCCAACTACATCAATTAAGACATCAAAAACAGCATAAGCTTATTAGTCCAGCACAATAGTTCAGTAGTCAAGGCATTTCAAATATAGTATCAAGGATATTCTATTCAAAAACTGAAGAATGAGCACTTAATTCATAGAAGTGAAGAAATTCTAAAAAAGAAATGATTTTGACCTTGTTATGGTGGCCATGAGAGCCAGTAATCTCCATGGCTTCAACATCAAAAGAATCAACTCTTCGAGGCTTCTTCACTAGCCTTCTTCTAATAGATCCATACCCTTCCCTAATCTCTTCATCCCCAATCAAAGACCATGGTGGTGACTCTGAATCCACTTCACTTCCATCCACCCACCTTGAGGACTCCCCGCCGCCGCTGCTGGCACTTCTCCTCAACAACCTCTTACTACTCTCTTCAATCCCTTCCTCTTCCATTTCCTCTATTCCCTACCCCAATGAACCAAAAAATTGTTCAAGGGACTATCTTTAACTATTTTCAGACAAATACCAGAAATCCCAATTGGCTGCTCTTCCCTAATTGCATAAACCCAGAAATAGTTAAAAGGGATTATTCTTATTTGTTTACTGACGAAGCCCAGAAAATCCAAATTGCTAACCCAGCTTTGGTCAGGCGCACAGATTATTTATTTTGCTGTGATTCGTCGGGCTTGGACGCTTGGTAATGTCCTGTTAGTTTATCTCTGACTTCAGAACTGTCTCAATAGAGACAAAAACATCAATAATTGAATGTTGGAACTAATAGAAAATGAGGGTCTTAATTAAGACAGGGAATATACCTTATGGATAATGATGATGCCTTGGCCCATGTTTGATCGCTCACAATTTAAAAAATCATGGGCCCCATATTTTTTTACGAGAGGAGTGTCGAAGTTAATGTATAAAAAAGTGTACAAATGGGATTACTCTTTTTCTCATGACTCATATTTTTTTATAAAATTGATTTTTAATCCCATAAAATAATTTTATATACATGAATTCATAATTTTTCCCTACTTTTAATCATAAATTTTCTAAAAAGTTATTACTTCAAAATTCATTTTCCCTCAAAAAATAAAACTCAAATAGGGGCTTAATAATCTAGACTACTAACCCACATTAGAACACCAAATTTTGAGAAAATATGTTTTAAAATAGTAATTTTTTGAAGAATTTATAGTTAAAAAAAATGAAGTTTTTTTGAATTTACTTTTAAAATTATTTAATGGAAGAATATACGATTAAAAATGAGTTTTAGAAAAATAAGAGTCCGTTTGATTCATGTTTCAGATTTTAGTTTTTAATTCATTTTCAGTTTTTTATTTTGAGGATCTGAATTAAAATTATTAAAAATACTTTTGGTTTGAAAAATTGAGAAATTATTTTATAACATTTTATTTCGTGAAATTTGATTATTCAATAAAAATAGAACAATTTATGTTAACATATTATCAAGTAATATATATATTTTTTAAATTTTATGAATTTACAATATTTTTTCACGCAACAAAAGAAAAATAAAAATATATGATAAACCGAGTTTAAAATATAGGAAATAAAAATAAAATTAATGACGTGGACTGATAATATTTTTATTTGTATTCATTTAAATATTTTTTTAGAACTTTCACGTAAATAATTATAAAGAGCATGGATTATTTTTATTTTTTTAAAAAAAGTTTTATAATTTTATTTCTTCAAAGTTTTAGATTTTATTTTTTAAAAATCTATCAATTTTATTTATTGATTTTTTTTAATTATTATAAATTTATTTGTTAGAATTTAATATTTTTAATTTTTAAAATTTTATTTAGGCAATGTTTGACAACTTAATATAAACCCCACCCCCCCACCCCCCCTTCCCTCCCTTCCCTCTTTTTTTTAAAACTCATTTTCAATCAAACATTCCCGATAAAATATTTTACACATAAACTCAAAAATTTTCCTTTTGAACAACACAATCTCTAAAAAATTGCTATTTTAAAATGAATTTTCTTACAAATATTCATTTTAATGATTGTCAAACAGAAGGTTAAATAAATTTTTATTTAAATGCTTATTTTTCACATTTTAGTGTTTTCAGAATTTTCACTGACAATACTTAAACGTCAAGAATGCATTTTGAATTTTATATCATAAATTTATTCTAGTATTTCAAAAATGTATTTTTAGAAATATCAAATTAAATAATTTTGAATGTTTTACAAAATTGAAAATTAGAGAAAATTGGAGTTCAAACGGGGCTAATTTTTTTTTTTCACTTATTTATTTTAGATGCCCATATATTGTTGAAATAGAAATTCAGCCCACAGGCCCAATCACGAAAGAGGTCAGGTCCAAAAAACCACCTAATTATTAGGGTTTTGAACTGTAAGTCATTCCGCTTCACAAAATCAACATTTCTCTGTAATAAGTTCTCAATTTCCCTCCGTCACTGCAAAATTCAGCATGTGCGCGTGTGAAATTTATTTGTTAGATTTATATGCTTGAATAATGAAAATCAGGCCTTTTCAAGGCTCAAAGTTGTGAAATATTGTTATATTTGGGTAAAATATTTGATCTCTGCAATTTTTCATTTTGTAGCTGTACTGTGGTTAGATAATACAAAATGTCTCGAGTCTATGTGGGGAATTTGGATCCGCGTGTGTCAGAAAGAGATTTGGAGGACGAATTCCGCACTTACGGCGTTCTTCGCAGGTAAATTTCTTCCCACGGTTATTTATTATTTTATTTTATTTATAGGATTGCATCCGGGAATTTCCTTAGCTTTAGTTGCAAAATTGTGTTATAATATGATTTGAACAATGTTATGAAATTACTGCAGTGTGTGGGTTGCTCGAAGGCCACCAGGTTATGCATTTATTGAGTTTGACGATAAACGGGATGCTCTGGATGCAATTCGTGCTCTGGATGGTAAGAATGAAAGGATGTTTAAGGCACCTTGGAAAATTTCACATGTTTTTGACTAGATTTGTTATGTGAGTTACTTCCGTTTTGCTTTTTATGTCATGAATGATGTATCAGCTACTTACAGGTTTAGTTCCTTGATGTTTCTTATCGTGCACAGGTATTGCACTAGTTCAATTTGCAGTGGTATGAACTAGAATTTGTTTTTCTTCTGTACATGCTTGTTCACATCACAATAGACCCAGTGATGTGAGAGTACTTATTTTCGATTTCCAAAGCTTTTGTGGCAGTTAAATAGCCTTTTGGTAATATGGTTTAAGAATTCCTTCTTAAATTTTCCTGTGAAACTCTCACTGATAACTAGCTCTGCATCCTTGTATTCTTTTCCACTTTGACAGGACCAAAATACCTTTTTCCCAATTCTGGTCACATTGGCTGTCAAACTTTGATCCTTTTCAGTGTATATGTAATATGTATTTTTACGTCTTTGAGATTGTGTTGATATATTAAGTTTTTCGGATAGTTTATGTTAATAGTGCCTTCAATGAAAGTAAGAAGTTAACATATAAAATTTATCCGTTGACTTGAATGAAATGATCTTGGGACAATGATTTCTGTCACATTCTTGTCATAGTTCAATCATTGTTTGACTGCCCTGTACTTGTAACCTAAGGCTGGAATTTACTTTGGGGTTAATGATAGGATCTACTTTGTTTCACATGTTCGGAATTTAGACATCCTTCAAATATGAAGTTATGTGTCTATCACAAGGTTACATTTTTTTTTTTTTAAAAAAATCCATCAGCACTCATTTAGGAAAATCACCGCAAATGGTGAACGAAACACACCTAGGAACACAATCTACCCAAGTCTTCACACTCGGACAAAATATAGCATTAGACGCTATAACATGGGCCACTTTATTCTCATCTCTAGAAATAAAGTGACAAGGACCACATCAAGAATGATTTATCTTGTTTGAGTTTTGCTTCGCAGGCTTTTGATTTTTTCTTGTTCTCCTTTCACGTAATGAATCAACAGGAAAGAATGGCTGGCGAGTGGAGCTTTCCCATAATTCAAAGGGAGGTGGAGGAGGGCGTGGTGGCCGTGGTCGTGGAGCTGATGACTCAAAATGTTATGAATGTGGTGAACCTGGTCATTTTGCCCGAGAGTGTCGCTCACGCATTGGTTCACGGGGATTAGGAGGTGGCCGACGTCGCAGCCCTAGTCCTCGACGACGCAGGAGTCCAAGTTATGGAAGGAGGTGAGTTTATTTATTTTGTTTTTGAGAAAAATAACTTGATACTCAGAATAATTCATCTTGCTTACAGCGTAAATTTGGAACTGTATCCAATTTTGACTTGCACTAGGTTAGCTTGAAGTCTTGCATAGCTTAAATGAAATTTGTAAGTAAATCATAATGGCCTTGTGGTTTAGGTTGATGTGCATCACGTAATTTTTTCAGCTTAAGACAATCCCAATGTGTATCCTCTAATGCAATTGACTTGAAAACAGCAATGTATCAAAAAATGTGTATATTATCAGCTTTCTGTTTAAGCAATTGCTGAAAGTTTTAAGACATGTCATGTTACCATAGGAAACACTTTCCTCCCATCTATTTATTATTGATAACAGGCTCATTATATTTGGGTCTTGTTGTTCTTATTATTTACTATATAAATTGAATCATTCCTTAAATGAATTAAATTAGTGATTTTGTTGTAGCATTTATAAGTGTAATTTTTACACTTATTTTTACACTTATTTGGGCCGTTTATTTTGTGCCTTTGTTGGTTATTTAGCTAGGGGTTGTTTTGATTTCCTCGTGTTTTTTATGCTTTGCACAAGATGTCAGTCACGGTTGTGGGACGAAATTGCACATTGGTGTAAATTTACTTCCGTTCCACTTACTCAATATACAATTTCGTCCTACAACCATGACATCTCCTGCAAAGCATAAAAAACACTAGGAATCAAAATAATCCCGAGCTAAACAAAAGCACAAATAAACGGCCCAAATAAGTGTAAAAATTACACTTATCAAGCATTATGGGCTGCTAATATGAATTTTCGCCCAACTCATATGCCACCTCCAGAAAACTTGCTTGAAAATTATCAGTCTGTCACTCAATAACTTGAAGTTGGTTTCGCATTTTATTTATCAAGAAAAAGTAGGTTTTCACTATGCATTTTTCAACTAAACTTTGTTATTAAGTTCGTGGGAGTGGATTGTATTGCTTTCTTCTTTGAACTGCCAGAATATAATTGATATTGCTCATGAATTTAGATGTGTATATTATCTGTCAGAAAACACGGAGTTTCTCATTTTGTATTTGTGCAGTTTTCCAACTGGCTTCTTGTTTTAACTCTTAATAGAGGATCAAAATGCTTCCTCAACAAATTTTGTAAAATTATAGATAGTGTTCATGAAGTTGCTCTGTTATTTTTAGCTAAAAAACATGTAGTTAACGTATAGTAAATCATAATGCTTTATGATAGTCTGTATATTGTTGCTTGTTTGTGTTATGTTTAGGGGACTTTAGAATATCTGTTACTGGTTACTTTTAGGATATTAATTGATAATGGGTGCATAGAAGTGCAAGAGATATTGCACTAAGGTTTTATGTATAGAGTATCTGCCTAGATGAGCTACTTTGGAAACACGGGGGAGATGCTGTTGTGAGGCTTTTTTGCTTATGGTTACTTTTTTGCCTATCTGCTATCATTTATCACCGTACTTGCATCTTGTTGCAGGAGTTATAGTCCTGTTGGGAGAAGATCTCCACGTCGCCGCAGTATCTCACCTCGCCGTGGCTACAGCAAATCATCCCCCTATCGCGTTGGTCGCCGTGATTCACCATATAATAATGGGTATGTGACCATTTCTAATTCAAATCATTGATTAGTTGTTTCGTTCCTCGATCGTGTGGATTGTAGTTACTGCTGTAATGCATGCAGTGTATCACCTCACCCTGGCTACAGCAGGTCACCCGGACACCGTCGTGGTCATCGTGACTCGCCTTTTGCAAATGGGTAATGTCGTGGTTTTTACTTTCCATGCACAAATTTCTTACAGTTGTGTCCGATTTCTTAGTTGGACGACTCTGAGAGAATCTCCGTGTTAGCCTCAAATCTTGATTGTTAATGCTCATACCTCCATGCTATTTTGAATAAATGAAGGGGAAAATTGGATAGTTTATGCTGAGAAAACACAAAAGGAAAAGATAAGAGAGGAAGAGTGTCTAAATGCGTACATTCTCCATTGGGCGGGGTTGTTTGACCTTTTGTCGTTTTCTCTTTTACGTTCTGGTTCTGCTTTCTTTTATTTTTTTATGGGCCTGACTTAATCATGTGAAACATGGATGTATGTTACCCCAACCCTCCTGCCCCAAAATAATCAATTAAATAAATATATAAAACAACTGCACTCCCCCAAAAATAGAAAAACCAAGTAATCTTCTCATATTTCCAGATGTGTTTAAATTTAATACGAGCTTTTATGGATGACAGAGATTAAAGCTGAGGCTGGATTGGTTAGTCCTGTTGGGAGAAGATCTCCACGTCGCCGCAGTATCTCACCTCGCCGTGGCTACAGCAAATCATCCCCCTATCGCGTTGGTCGCCGTGATTCACCATATAATAATGGCGTATCACCTCACCCTGGCTACAGCAGGTCACCCGGACACCGTCGTGGTCATCGTGACTCGCCTTTTGCAAATGGAGATTAAAGCTGAGGCTGGATTGGATGGAAAATTTCAGTGAGGATGAGGATTTGCTATGATGTAATCTGATAGATTGAAATACAAGACAATATGATGTGTTTGGAACCTGGTCTTAGATGTGGCATATTTGCAAGTAGATGCAAAAATGGTGACTGCCCGTGTTAGTTTTATGCTACTCAGTTCAAATCTGGAGGTCTCTTCATATTTCAATTTATCATAATGGTGCTATTAGTGTGTTATTAACTTTGCCCTGTTGCTATCAGTACTAGTATTTTTCTCTAAATTTCTATGTTTCTGTGTTTGAAGTGATTATCAGCTAAAAACAGCATCATTAAGCTACTTACTGCTTCATAGTCTACTCGGTCGAGCAACATCCGTGATTCTTTATGTGATCACATCTACTTGTAGAACTCCTCATGCTTCTTAGCATAAGTCAAACTGCAATTGCTTCATTTCTCACCTCGTAGGCACGATGGTTATCTACAAAGCTTCTCTAGGTAAGGCATCAGCGTCTCTGCTGGTAGAATATTGAAGCAGTTTATGATCTTCGGACATCACCCTTTTTCAAGCTACATGGATGAATTGTTACCCTGGAAACTACCTAAGGTTGTACCAATCTTGAAATCAATTCTCTTCAGGGATCTAGTGGACCCCTCAATAGGAATCTTGAAGTACAAGTGGATCTTGTATGATACCCAGAACATCTATGATACTTAAGACCTTGAGAACTTAGTCTGTGCATCAGATGCCCCCGACTAGGAGACGAGTGCTTCATTAATACTTATTGAGTGGTGGTCATCAGTTCGAGTCCTCTCAAGGCCACTGAGATGAGTATTCGACTGTAAACTTCAGGGTCCTATGGGATTAGACGAAGTGGTCGCAAGCTGACCCAGACATTCACGGTTATGAAAAAAAAAAAAAAAAAAAACTTATTGAGTGGCTTTTACTGAACAAGCTACATGGCCCATGGTGTTCAGCTCAATTGCATGTCCCCGTGTTGTAAAATGTTGTTCTGCGAAGCAAATTCTTGCTGCCATTCTTTTTGTTATATGTATTTTATAGTTGGATGAACCAAATTTCTTCCCAAATCAACTATTTCTTTTTTCTCTTGGTGTCTGCTATTCTGCCTTCTCTTTGCACCTTGTGATAACATAACGCCAGGATTGGTAGAGAGATAAATTTATGCCTCTCGAGCAGTAGTAGCTATGCAAAAAAGTGAATATTTGCATTGTCTTTTCCTCAACAAACAAGAAAAGAATTCGGGAAATGGCTTTATTTGCATTGTCTTTTCCTCAAGAATCACTGTGTTCCACCCTCAAAGGGGCAGTTTTTGATAAAAGCCCCTGAGATTTGAGAAATTGGCACTTGGGACACCCATCATACCTTTTATTTTATGATAGAAGAGATATGAGTTAAAATTTTGTAGTATCAGTCGTAAGCAAGACTACGTACAAACATGTTTACAGGTTGAGTTAAAGAATCGTGAATGTTAATTGCCAAATCATATTAGATCCTGGAAATATTGGGAAATCACTCGATGGATGATTATTATTAACTAACTTTCTTCTGTGGGGTAAGAGATGTTCAATGGATAGAAGATGCTTAATTTCCAGTTTTCTAAATTTCTGCTGCCAAATAACCACTTTCTTAAAACATGGAGGTTCGCATTGAAATTCTGACCATCCAAATGTTTGACCATTGCACGGACTTCACTCGTATATTCAGCCCTTGTTTGAGCTCCATTTTTGAGGGAAAAGAATTGATTTTCGAATAATGTTTTTTGAAGAATATATGATTAAAAAGTAAGAAGAATTTTTGGATTTACGAGTAATATTATTTTATTGAGAGAATGTGTGACTGATAAGAGGAGAGAGAAAAATGAATGAAATTTAATGGGGCCAAACATGTGCTCAATTATTAGGACCAATTAGAACGAAAAGAATAATGTTAAGTATCACGTGTTAAGCAATAGGTCATTTTAAACTGTCCCGCTACAGTGACATTAAGTTTGACAAATTTTTTTTTTTTTTTTTTTTACAGTGTGCGAAGTCGTACACTTTTTACCCTTGATTTCAACAACGCTTAAATTAATTCATGGCACAAATTTTTACACCTCATATATTATCAACCTTAATGTATACATGGGGATGTACAAATAGTATTTTCCCATTTTAAATTGCATTCGTATCCTTTTAAAGATGATTTATCAATTATTCACACTTCAATGTCACTTGCACTAATGTTTAAATGATAATAATATAGTATTACTCGAACTAAAATAATTTGATTCTCATAACACTGTAAATGGTTAAAAAATTGACAATGTAACCATTGGATATCGAGTGCATATTTGAGATAGCGTTGAAAATTGTTAAAAGGTTGACGTTAAGGTCAATAATTAATTTTAACTATACATTTTATATTATTCACAACTTTTATAAAAAACTTAACACAACCCCTAAGGAACAAGAAGTAGAGTTTCTCATTTTGCATTGGTGCAACTGTTTTAGTTCATAAGAGAGGATTGAATTGCTTTCTTGACAGAACTGTGATGACGCTATAGATGGTGCTCATGAAGTTGTTGCACACTTGTTAAGCATTGTTTCTTGTTTATATTAGTCTAAAGATGCTAATCTTTTCTTCTTTTCGGGACATTGGAATAGCTATTAGCAGAAAACCCTTTTACGGATCTCCTAATAATGCCTCGAGGCAGTCACTGGAGCTTGTTGGCCGCGAGATGCAATTCACTTCAAAAGAACTAAAATCCGTAGGGAGTTACAAACTGGTAAGAGATGAAACTTCATTTTCATTTATTATTTTTAGGATGGTGGTAGATACTGGGTGCATAGATGTGCAAGAAATTTTACTTAGGAAGCACAGAGGAGATGCTATTGGTAACGCTTTTGCATTTGGAATTGCTATCTTGTCTTTGTATTTGCATCTTGTTGCGGGAGTTATAGTCCACCTCACCTGGGAGAAGATCTCCATGTCGCCTCAGTATCTCACCTTGTCCTGGCTACAGCAAGTCATCCTCTATCGTGTTTGCTTGCATCTTGTTGCAGGAGTTATAGTCCGCGTGGGAAAAGATCTCCATATCGCCTCAGTATCTCACCTTGTCCTGGCTACAGCAAGTCATCCTCTATCTTGTTAGTCACCATGAATCACAGTATACTAATGGGTACATAATCTTTCAAATTGCTGTCACATGTATAAATTAATAATAGGACTACTCTGAGAATTCTACATTTCAGCCTCAAATCTTGATTGTTAGCTGCTCGTACCTAAGTGCTTTTGTCAACAATTTAGAACACTTTAACGAAGGGCAAAATTGGACAATATATGCTGAGAAAACATAAAAAGGAAGAGAGATCTAAATGTCCTCATACATTCTCTATTGGGTGGGGTTGTTTGTCTTATGTTGTTTTTTCTCAAGTTTTGCTATCTTTCTTACTTTTATTTTTTATGTTTTCTGTTTCTGAAGTGTGATAATCAGCTAAAACGATGTCACTTAATGCTTCACAGTCGACTCACTCTAGCAACACCCATGCTTCTGCGTCGTCACATATTCTACTTGTAGTTCCTCCTTGTGCTTAATCTTAGTATAATTGGAACTACAAGTGCTCCATTTTTCTCTCCATATAAGGCCATGGTTTTCTACAAAAGCTTCTCTAGGTAAAGATCGACTTCTCTCTTTCTAGGGGTAGAATATTGAAGTGGTTTATGGGCTCTGTGTCACGGCGGTATGATAAACAATACACTACTGTAAACAAGATTTTAACTTCTTTCTTTTCAATTCTATGTACCACACAAGTACTTGAGGTTACTCCAACCTTAGAATAATTCTCTTCAACAATCATTCTCTAATGGACCTCTTAGTATGAATCTTTAATTTTGTTCATCTATCAGAGAAATAAGTAGTTCTATACTATCCTCAGAGAAGTTAGTCCGTGTATTAGATGCCCCTACTAGGAGACTAGTAACCTAGCTGAGTGATTTGAATAGAAGAAACTACATGGGTTGCATTGGTCACCTTGTCGTATATAGAATTTGGTCGTAGACACGAAACTTTTTCTTTCTTTATTAATATCCAAATATAATCTATCTTACCATAATTTATCGTGCCCTATTGTTTGCTGACGTTAATTGTCTACACGATCACATTAGGAATGGTACGGTGTATGCACATGAAATTCAAACCTAGCAATTCCAGATAATTTGCCGAATGAGTACAATAATTAACAGATCACATGATTCACACCAACGAATAAGATATATAGTTCCTGTTTGGTGGAGATTAAAATAAATTTTTTAATAAATTTTAATAAAAGTTGATGAAATGTATGATTAAAAAATTGTAAATCTCATAAAATATATATTTAAAATTAATTATTGACTTTAATTTAAATTAAAATCACAGCCAAATAGGGTATAATAAGTTGAGTTTTGCCGTGTGTTCAGAAACTGTGCACACAGAAAAATGCCAGAACACACACAACACAAAGTGGACCCCACATTTTTGGCAATATTTAATTCCACGTGGGGCCACGTCCATGTGAGTTTTCTGTTGAACTTTTGTAGGGAATTTTTTTGAGAAACAAATGGAAAAAATCTAATGTATTCAGGAAAATGACTGTTTTTGTCTTTGCTTCAATAATTTAGAGTCCCATTGTTGAAGGGACCATTTTTCTAAGAAACTCCTTGAGGTTTGAGAAATTGGCACAAGGGACACCTTCTTCCTCTTCATTTTTTTTACAAACTTAACATTCTTAATTACAATTCATCTTTCTGTACAAACGACGAAATGAACAAAGATACACAACAAACCGTGGACAAATTACTAGGGCACGTAGTAGCTTTTAAAGTCAGATTATCAGCTATTTTGTTCCTAGAACATTGAACAAAAATATTCCGTATAAAAAATTTCATGACAAATCAAGACATTTCCTAATTTCAATACCTATATGACTGTCATGTAGTACAAACCAACAATCCCATAATGGTTCCTAATTACAAGCACATTTTGTCGTCAAATTTTGAAATTTGAACTGTAAATTTTTATTGATAATCATACTAGCTCTTGAAAGACGAGTTTTCTAAACTTAAATGGGAGCAAATAACCAGTTTTTCAAAAATTGGGGGGTTCACCTTGAAATTAAGACTATTCCACCATAGATAATTTTTGTTGTACAATTTTTTTGACACTCCCTTCACATGGGGATGGGGCCCATGATTTTTAAAATGAATAATGCTATTTACAGTCGCTCATTGTAGCAGTCGCCCTATGTAACACACACATGTCAAGTGTGTATTTAATGTATTAATGTGGTCAAGAATTACCATATTAATGTATCAAATAACTACATGACATGTGTGCGTCACATATGACGACTGCTGCAGTGAGTGATTATAAATAGCGTTACTCTTTTAAAATCGCATACCCACTCTTCGTTTGTAGAGTGTCAAATTAGATGTACACAAAAGTGTTCCTCTAACGTTACTCATTCCACCATGTGGTTCATTCCTCACGGATATTTATTTAATTATATTAATATAATTACCAACTCCTCTACGGTTAAGATCACATCTGGTTAGAACCCAATTCGTTGATTATCACAACAATTTCTTTGATTCAGCCATTGCCAAAGTATTAACTGTACATTTAGAAACCGGAGAGTTCCCGATTTCTCTCCAAGAAAAGGAGCACTCATTTGTAAATTGTAAATATCATTATCATCCAAGAGATCCAAATTCCAAGGTCCCAATTCCTCGCCGGAGCCACCTCCAATCACCGTCTTCGATGGGTATAGACACCACTGCCGCCGTCGCCGCTGCAGTGGATGGCGACTCGGAATCAGCCTCTCTGTTAATCCCCAAATCATCTTCCACCAACCCCCAAAAGATCCCTAAAGACAGTTTCAACATGGCCTACATAATCTACTTCACATTGGGCGCAGGTTACCTTCTTCCCTGGAACGCATTCATCACAGCCGTTGATTACTTCAGCTACCTCTACCCCGATGTCTCCGTTGACCGTGTATTCTCCATAGTGTATATGCTGATAGGGCTTACGAGCTTGCTTTTCATTGTGTCGTTTGCTCACAAATCGAATTCTTTTGTGAGAATTAATGTGGGAATGGTGCTATTTGTGATAGCGCTCTTGGTGGTGCCTTTGATGGATGTTTGGTACATAAAGGGAAGAGTTGGAGTGTATGGTGGATTCTATATGACGGTGACATTGGTGGGTCTGTGTGGGGTTGCTGATGGATTGGTGCAAGGAGGAGTCGTTGGGAATGCTGGGGAGTTGCCTGAGAGGTACATGCAGGCTGTGGTAGCTGGCACTGCTGCTTCTGGTAAATTTTATGGTTTTTTGGGGTATTTTTGGAGATCAATTTTCTTGTCCATAGCTTTTTGGTTTTGTGTGGTTGCTTTAGTTGCGGATTTTTTGAATTGATTTTAATCAGCAATATGAAAAAGCTCGGAATTTTTGCCTCGAAATGTTTGTTTATTATCTACTCTTGCAATTTTCATTTTTGTGCAAATAGTGTTTTTCCCATTAGCCACCGGGGGTTGACTGGTTGTGGCGAATTGTTTTCGTAGCTTTTGGTACTGACAGTTTGGTGGGATTTGAGTAAAGATAAAAGATAAAATCTTCAGAATAGTTGGTTGTTAGATGCGGACATTCCTTTGCAGATAAGTTTAGGTTTACTCAACTAAGATGGTCAGCTTTTTCTTCTCATTCAGGTGAAGTGAATAACTTAATGTTCTGTCATTGATGTATCATTAAGTTGCATTTATGAAGGGTTGAAAGATCTAGGAATCTATAGATTGGTCGTGGATAGAAGCCCTGCATGTTCTATATTTTGACGTCGAAACTATCAATCAATTTTGTTGAGGCATTACTAATTAGTTCCAAAAGTGTTACCCTACTCTACAAACAAGGAATTGAATCCACATTTTCGTCCACTGGCCGTGTCTTTACTTCTCATTTAGACCAATACCAGCTGTTGATGCATTATGATCCTTGTGCTGTGCTCCTTCAAGGCCACGGAGGTGAGTACCCGGCTGTAAACTTCAGGGTTCCGTGGAATTAGTCGAAGTGCGCGCAAACTAGTCTGTACATCCACGGTTATCAAAAAAAAAAAAAAAAAGATCCTTGTGCTGTGCTAACTCTATCAGAAAATTTAGCAACATTAGATGAAGTGTGATTTTTCTACTGCTTCTTCTGCTCTTAGGCGCTGCTACTTGTTAGTTGGGATTTAATTTTGATATTTGAAGGATCCGATCTGATCAACTTCGTCCATAGTTTATGCTCAATTATATTTCAAGAAGTGAGATAATTTGGCTTTTGTTTTTGGACTGCAGGTGTCCTTGTGTCAGTTTTACGAGTTCTAACCAAAGCTATATATCCTCAAGATGCTCGTGGACTCAGACAAAGTGCCAATCTTTATTTTATTGTCAGCATTGTGGTGATGTTATTAAACGTTGTTTTTTACAATGTGGCACATAGACTTCCTGTGATCAAGTACTATAATAATCTGAAAACTCAGGCTGTCAATGAAGAGAAGGAAGAGAAAGGTGACCTAACCGGAAAGCTATGGAGATCAACCTTATGGGACATCGTAGGAACAGTAAAATGGTATGGCTTCGGAATCATGATTATCTATGTCGTGACATTGAGTATTTTTCCTGGATCTGTTACAGAGGATGTGAGCTCTGAGATTCTCAAGGACTGGTACCCGATCATACTGGTTGCGGGCTATAATGTCTTTGATCTGATCGGTAAGTCTTCGACTCCCTTATATCTCATAGAAAATGCAAAAGTAGCAATAGGTGCCTCCTTTGCAAGGTTATTATTTCTTCCCCTGTTCTACGGTTGCTTGCATGGGCCTGAAATCTTCAGAACAGAAATTCCGGTTACAGTGTTGACCTGTCTTCTGGGGCTTACAAACGGATACTTTACATGTGTATTAATGATTTTGACTCCCAAAACTGTTCAGTTGCAACATGCAGAGACTGCAGGGATTGTGCTTGTTTTGTACTTAGTAGTTGGTCTGGCAATTGGTTCTGTATTATCTTGGTTTTGGGTCATATAGTTCATTGATAGCATCTTTGGTGGGGATGATAAGTCTTGTAATGGACTATAGTAAGAAAGTAAACGACCCCTGTACTGTCTCATGCTATCCAAACCGAACATGCACGGAGTATTTTCAAGGCATCAAGTCCATTTGCTTGGCTTCAAACATCCATATTGTCTGGTTGGTTTGTACTTTTTCTAAACTGAAGCATTATGTTGTAAGTTGTAACCATGATCCTTGAAACAGTTTGAAAACTGTATAATGCTAGCTATAGTGTATTCTGTCCTTCATTTTCTTAATATTCAAATATTGAAGCGTTTCATCATTTACATTATTCCTCCGGGTTACCTCGTGTAGCTTCTTGAACAAATGGCTGTAGGCTTATGATTTCACTATATGTTTAGTCCGAGTTTGTGCCCAGACAGGACCCAGTTGGACACTGGGGTTTTTTAGTATGCCATGTCATTTTTTATTTAACAGATTCTACTCCCTTGTTTACAACCTCTGTGCTCCTCTCCCTAATCTTCGTTCCTACCTTGCAACTTGAGTGTGTTCTAGAGTTGACCTACATTAGTATTGTAGTATAAGGATCATCAGATACTTGTCGCGTCCTTAAGCATTTGATCTATGTTACATTTATTCCGATATGGAGGCACTAAGGCCTATGGACATCTGTCACGTGTTTCGATTGTCAGATATGAAGGGATACGGCGAGCTACGTACGACCAATCACAACTTGCAGTCAAAACATCACTTTTGAATAACACATTCACTTGTTATTCTTTTATGCAGAAACAATTTCTTCAATTTTTTTCTTTTTCTTTGTTTTTGAATTTTGAATTGATTTTTTGATATTTTTACTTGCTTGGTGACGACTCTAAGCCATTGTTTAGAGGAGATTAAAATCAAATTTTAATTTAATTTAAAGTTAACAATTAATTCAATTGCATATTTTATAGAATTCACAACTTTTCAACCACGCATTTTATCGATCGTTACAAAAATTTACAAAAAAATTGATTTTAATCGTCATCAAACAATGGCTAAGTTAAGTTTATCCTCAAGAAAGTTATACTTTTATTTTGACTTTTTATTAATTGTCTTTAAAATCTGTTGGAAGTTTTTTTATTTTTATTTTTAGTATATTTGTTTGTTTAATATTTGAAAATCTTCTCTATTATCAGACATTTATTTTAGTTGAAATGATCCTAATAAATGTAGGTTGTTTAGTTTCTTTTAAATAATATATTTTGTGTCTCAGGTTTATATTTTAGTTTAAAAATCACTTTTATTGACCTCTCCCCGACAATCACACTGGTAGGTTCTAATTATTGTAACCCTATATTAGTATATATTGTGTCATTTACATTTTGAAAATTATATGCAATCTCATTATTTTCTGAACAGAAGAAACATTACTATTAATGAAACAACAATACATTTGATTTTTTTTCAAATGATGAAAATAGTTTAAAATTCTACAAAAGTATGTTAAAACTTAAATTTAACTATTGTATGATTGAATAATTATTTCTCGTGGGATTGACAACCCGAACTCGTGTGTTCTCTTTATTACTTACGCGATCCATACAATCATGGTACATATTTTTCAAGAAAAACAAGTCAAACGTCATTTTCATAAATTTAGTGACCAAAATTTGACTACTTCAAAGTTTAGTAAATAATCAAAGACATTTTTCAAAATTTAATGAACAATTGAAAATGTGACATTTATCAATGGCGTAACGAGATGCCGCAAATGTATTCCGTTAGTCACATCATTAATTCCGTTAAGATTTGAAACGGACGTTAAGATAATGAATAACATCCAACGTTTTGATACGTTTAGTTGCCAAAATTCGATATCTTAAATTTCAGTCAACAATTGAAGACATACACATAAGTTCAATGATCATTTGGACAATTAACTCGTTTTGATGCTATTCCATTATTTAAAAAAAAACAAAAATTGAATGCCAAAAATCCACTCGAGCCGTTTATAGAAATTCATTTCGAATGTTTCCTTCTCGAGCCCATTTTCAATTTTGCTTGCAAAAAGCTGTAATATGCTGTCCCTCATAGTTCATACAATCAATTATAGTGGAGATTAAAATTAGATTTTTAATAAATTTTGATAAAAATAAATGGAATATACGACTAAAAAATTGTAAATTTTATTAAATAAATAGTTAAATTAATTATTAACTTTGACTTAAATAAAAAATTTAGATGGTGTTTGGTGATGATTAAAATTTGATTTTTAGTAGATTTTGATACAAATTTTTAAAATGTGTGGTTAAAAAACTGTGCGATCCATAAAAAATGTGATTAATATTGATTATTTGACTTTGACTCAAATTAAAATTTGTACCAAACAAACATTTTAATTTCCACCCAAATATAAAAATATACGTCGCTATATGATAGAAAGCCTCAGTCTACCGTCCTCAAGTCTGCGAAGTACTTTTAACCAATTACAACTATCCAAGAACCGAAAAGGTTAGCTACGTCGGACCCAACCACCATGTCGGAGAATACCGTCGCCGATTTGAACTCGGACCCAACTCAACCCGAACCCGTTAAGCAGATTTCCGATGAACCTGCCCAACCCGATCCACCTTCCATATCGTCAACCCCACCTCTAAACCCTAACCCTAGTACGCCGCCACCGTCGTCGATTTTAGCTCCTCCGCCTCCATCGATCCAGCCGTCTTTCCGTCCTGTGGCACCGCCCCCCGCCATAGCCACTCCTCAATTCACGCCAGTGCCCACCGTCAATTATCAGACAACTGGAGTTCCACCGCCAGGAGTGAGCAACGTGACGCCTATGGTGATGCCTCCTGTACCGGCGACGGGGAGTGGGGTGCTGCAAGTTCCGGTAGCTTCGATGCCTGGGGTAATGGCGCCTTATGCTGTGCCCGGTCAGCCGATGAGACCATATGCACCAATGCCTAATGGCTATCCGGGGATTCCTCAGCCCGTTCCCCATGGCGCTATGCCTCCTCCGGGTGGGTTTTCTTCCTGCGAATTCACTCGTTCTCAGTTGATCTCATCTCTTATATGGCTCTATGTATTTGTATAACCGTTTCAAATGTTTATGGTTGGTTAAGATAATCTGGAATTTCATGGAATCAAAACATTTAGTCGGAAATAAAGTAAAAATTACTCTAATTAAAATGATTTTTTTGCGCTTTTTGTTTGTTTACACCGTGTATAGTGTAATATGTTATGATGTGCTACTGGAAGGAGAAGAATGAGAGTGACACGTGGGGAGGAGAGATATGTGTTGGTTGGATTAGGGGTATCGATGACGGGATGTTTTCTCCTACAGTGTTCTCATGATTGATTACGGTGAAAAAGGTTGGAAGGCTTCATTAGGGACTACTGACTACCCCACGCTTCAACTCCCTTTTTGGTATGCACGCATTTATTTGTTAATCTTTATTTTGCAAACACATATTTTAGAAATGTGGTAATATTAATTTTTCTAATGCGTAAAAACAAAAAATAATGAGAAAATAGTTTTCTAATTCAACGTCGAGTCACGGCCTAAAAAAAGTGATTCTCCCAGTTGTAACACTAAATATTATTTGGTTGTGCTATGCTCATTTAGTTGGCTAGTAGTCATAAAGATGTTTAGCCCCTTTATGGGATTTTGATTTCTGAATAGCCAGCAGCGCATTAAGTTAACAACTGAGTGCTCCTTTGCCTCTATCATCCAAGGTATAACAATCTTCTCAACCATACAATTTTGATTTTGTTTCATTGCTTTTATTATGACGTCAGTGAGAATTTTTCAGTTTGTATTTTATTTCTTTGCTTTTATTATGATTTCCATGAGATCCGTTTTCATTGTTTTTTGTAATTAGAGATTGTAGACAATAAAATTATAGTTTTGTGTCCTCAATTGTTATGATGTGACTTGTGAATGGGACATTGGTAATCTCATCTCCCTACTCAATTCAAATCTTTACATTTGGTGCTTGGAATTGGGATAGTTTTGACAAAGCTACTGATCTGCAACTGGATGTGTAAGGTATGCCCAGCTCACATATTCCTGGTTTATGAATCCTAGTGTTATTGTCTTGATGTGCATTCAGGTTATTTGTTCAGCTGGTGATTGTTGTCGTGCCATTGCTGCCATCTCATATTACTTTTAATATTTTGGGTAACATCAGCTGAATTTTCTTGTTAGATTATTTTATGTCTCATTTTCAGTGCATCATATGAATTTTCTAATTGAACTATTTTGTAAACATGCTCTGACAAATTTGCATAGTTTTTGTGTTTTCTTAATGCAGGAGTTCTTCGATATCCCCCTCCATATGCACCAATGATTCGACCAGCATTTCCTCCGCGACCAGTGGGTGTTATTCCACCAATGTTACGTCCTCCAGTTGCTGGGATTCGTGGGCCAATAACTTCTCCCTTTATTAGGCTACCTGCTGTCCAAAGTGTTACACCGACAGAAAAGCCACAGACGACTGTTTATGTGGGCAAGATATCAACAACAGTGGAAAATGATTTTATCCTCTCTCTCCTGCAAGTATGTGATTCCATCCTGTGCATTTTTCCCTCACCCTTTTCTCCTTATCTTCTCCTTCTACTTGTTGAGTTCAAATTTCTATTCCCCACTTTTGTCTTGAAAACTCAATATCAATGAAGTCTAACTTTTTCATTTTCTGAAGTTGTGTGGACCTGTCAAGAGTTGGAAGCGTCCTCAAGATCCCACAAATGGAACTTTAAAAGGTTATGGATTTTGTGAATTTGAGTCTGCTGAAGGGATTCTTCGTGCACTGCGACTACTCAATAAACTAAGTGTTGATGGACAAGAGTTGATGGTACAAATTTTGATTCTCCTCTATTGCTTTTATACATCTTGCTCAGCATTTACTGTTTATGCAACTTATAGCATTCTGGTAGATAAGCGTTTTGTATTTTTATTGCAAGAAGTTGATTGAATATCTTATGCTACAAGATAAAATTCTTGGGTTAATTGTTTCAGCACGGCGATTAAA